TAGCCACCGATATTTTTAAACTGTCATCTTCCAGGTTCCATAGCGCCCCCAATGCTCTGTCCATAGGTAATTCGTCTCTCGTCAGATCGATATTCTTAGCACCGGGTCTTTCTTGCTTTGTTAAATGGAAACCTCCGTTCTCCAAAGCTTCTTGTAATTCTTGAACATAGAGTTTGGCCTCATTAACAAATTCAGTAGATAACAAAAGGTCATCAACAAAGAAACACCGTTTGGCGTTATTGAGACCTTACCACACCTTCCTCCAAGTTTTTAAGAATCGCAAAGGCAGCACATGCGGGGCTCCAAACACCGCCGAGAAGATGCCTGGTCCTTTGGTATGGGGTAGGTGGCCTTATAAAGTCACCCTGCGGCTACCAAAGGAACCTTAAGACATCACGATCCTTTGGATCTACCAAAAATTGGTGGAACATGGCTTCAATGTCCGCGGACAGTGCCACCCTCCCATCCCTGAAACGAATGAGGATTCCTATAAGGTCATTTATCATATCAGGTCCCTGCATAATTTGGCTAGTTGGGCACACATCGTGGAGAGTGCCCAGTAATCAGTCTCTCTTATTTTGGGTTCTATAATTAACTTCTCCCGTGATTGATTCATGTACATATCTTCATCACCAAATCTTTTGTCTAGTATTTTCAGCGCTACTGTCAGACCCCTCTCTGCTGGTAGTGCCATGCAATGAGACATCAGCTTTTGAATCTCCCAATCAGAACTGGTGTATAACTGGTTTAATTTGTGCATGGCGGGCGTTGACGTGTCAAGAAAAAATATCTAGACTGTCTCCTGAGTGCCCAATAATTCTCAGTGCTGCCAGTCTTAAGCCTTGGGAGCTTTGTTTAATTTGTGCATGGCGGGCGTTGACGTGTCAAGAAAAAATATCTAAACTGTCTTCTGAGTGCCCAATAATTCTCAGTGCTGCCAGTCTTAAGCCTTGGGAGCTTTGCTTGCATCAATAGCAGGGTTTCAATTAGTGCTTCACTGCTCCCCTCCAAGCATGCGTTGCGTTTTATTCGCCTTCACTTCTTACTCGTTCTTGAGCCTCGCACTGCATTGCCACGGCTCCGCCCTCCTTTCCCGTTCTTCAAGATCTTTGCCTTTTGTCCTGCCCGTTCCTGTTTTAATTTACTACCCATAACTATATCATTGGCTCTTTTAATTTTCTTAACGCCTTTTTCCGTACCACGATGCCTTTAAGAGCCTCCACGTCCTATCTTGACCAGGGAATTACCACGTTTTCTTATGTTTGCAGCAGTCATTTTCTTACTACTGTCCTTTTCTGCATGACTTGAGGACCCATTGTAAGCGTCACACCTCATTTTACGCTTGGTTGCGCAGCCAGTAATTATTCCCTCACCACACTTGGACCTTTTATTTTTCTCATCACATGAGGACACGTTATTTTCCTCACTACATGAGGACCCTTTATTTTCCTCACCAAATGAAGACCCGTTATTTTCCAATCATAGGTGTCTTGACGCCACTTTTCACGCTGGTTATTGCTCCCCGGACGAATCCTTTTGCATTATCCCCGGACCTCCGTGTGGTTATGTGTTTTTTCAAACTTCCTCTTTCCGTGGTTGGCTCCCAGTTTTCCTTTTCTCATTGCCCTCATATTGCAGCTACACCCCTTCATTTCAGACCAATTATCTCCCTCAGAAATATCTCGAGATTGCATATTTTCATCCACGACCCTTATTATCAGTTGACTGAGGCCATTGTTTTCTATAGGGTACATACCTTGCATGGGTGGCTGGTTACCTGGCGGTTTGGTTGAATGGTTTGACTCCCCTGCACTTCGCTATTCATAACAGGGGACAGCCTCACTTGCTGGTGGAATGGCATTATCAGATATCTCCATCTGTGTGTGTGTGATTAGTCACGTCTGCTTGCGTAATTTTATGTTGCAGTTATTTTTGAAAATCTAAAAAATACAAGGGGTCCCTCAGAGCTTTGACCCCAAATATGGTGGTAATAAATATAATTCTATCAGAAGTGGATGGTTGGTTTAGTTCTGATCTCATGTTCACTATCCTTGGCGTTCTCGCTGAGGATAATCTTCTTTTTGCACTACCTTCAAGTTATTTATTTCTGATTCCTTACACTGCAACAAATGCAGTGCATGGTAGTACACAAATGACCTTATAAAAGCCAAGCAAAACAGTCTAGTAAGCTTAACACTGATGTCATGTTCTCTTCTGACAAGAACTTTCAACGGTTTCAATTTCTCCCAGAGTCTCTTCTTTAGAGAAAGGATCAGGTCTGCATCATTTACGTTCACCCCGAGATATTTATACTTATGACACATGTCAAGCTCCTGGTCACCTATGTGAAAAGTGGGTAGGGGTATGATACATGGGTTGAAAGCCATTGTTTTCTCAGCGGAGATGACTAATCACACTCATGAGCCCTTGTTGTGGATTTGTCGAGAATTATTTGCATCCTCTCTTGTGATGATGCTCTGACACATATGATATCAACATAGCATATAATGGATTCACCATCCCCAAATGAAATATCTGCCACCATCTTGTGTATGAGGACATTGGACAGCATAGGGCTGAGAACTCCTCCCTGTGGGGTCTCAAGTTCAAAAGATTATGAAGTGGAACTTCTCACTCCCCTTGCAGATCTGTTCGAAAGATACATTCTAGTCCAGCTCAATAATTTACCCCGGATGCCAAAGCTTACTAATTGTTTTAGGATAACATCTCTGTTTGTCATGTCAAATCTGACTTAAGGTCAAGAAAAATAGTGTGCTTCTCTGGATTAGAGCTTGAAAAGTATTTTGCAAATCAATGTTGTGTGCTACGTCCCAAAAGAAATCCGCACACTATGTGGGATAATTTACCTTTGTAACCTGTAACTGCGTCTGTTCAAAATTATCCCTTATAGAACTTTGCATACACATGAGGTTAGTAAAATTGGGCGGTATTTATCAGTGTTTGATTTCGGAATATGGATGATTAGACTGCGCGTCCAGGGACCAGGCAGAATACCTTGTGACAACTTAACCTGTACAGGTGCAGCACTTCAGACTTCCACTGCCATTCGCTCTTTCCATCTGCCTCTTCTCTCCACGGCAACGTCGGTTCTTCCTCGGCACGTTGCTCTCGCCGTACTGCTGATGAATAACGCGGCCTCTTCGTGCAACAATAGCTGCTATTTCCCTTTGCGTTTAACTGTAAACTTCATTTCACGCGATCAGATTAGTTGTGGCAATTCAAGAAGACTGACACCAGTGCTTCACTATTTGTTGGAATGCGGTCAAACATCAATACAGTAATAATCATAGCCACTGTCACAATTCGATTCAGGTTTATACCAGTACTTATAATATTACAACTGTAGAAAGAATACATTTTACTGTTTGCTAAGAATGTCATTGCATCATATTGCTTAAAGTAAACAACAATATACATAGGCACATATCTACATCTATACATGAATATGTATGATACATACGCATGTATAAGATACATACGTATTCACTCTCAAACTGGTTTATAAACCGGTGATAGCCACCCTTCGTAAAACGTCCTTCCTTCCATATATACGCCAAAACTTTGGACAAGGCACAATTCAGCACATGTATAAACACGGAGGAACATGAGTATGGCATTATCTTATCATGAAGAAACCGTCAACCGGAGCCCTAGAAATGATGATATAAGGGTGATGCTGATGCCAGCAACCACGCGATACTGATGCTGATGACAGCGGATACAGATGATATATGCGTGATGATAATACTAATAGATATGCTATCTCCCTTTCCATTCTCCCTCTCCTCCGTCTTTTCTTCCCCTTCCCCTCCTACCTTCCTTTTTTAACCTCCCGTCTCGGATAGTCGTGTAACTAAGAAATATGCACAAACTGACGGTCTAACTACTTCACTACGGTGTACTTGCCGTGAAGAATGACAATAATAACAATAATAATAACAGGATTAAATAGGAATCTCATTCGAAAGCGCGATTGTGTGTGATTCTTTGATATTTATATTGTCAATAAATCATCACCCCATATATAACAGCAACTACACCATCTCCCTTTCCATTCTCCCTCTCCTCCGTTTTTTATTCGCCTTCCTTTCCCCTTCCCCTCCTACCTTCCTTTTTAAACCTCATCGCTCGGATAGTCGTGTAACTAAAAAATATGCACAAACTCACGGTTTAACTACTTCACTACGGTGTACTTATCGTTAACAAAAACAATAATAGCAATAATCATAGCAAGATTAACACGCGCGCGCGTGTGATTCTTTGATATTTATGTTGTTAATAAATTATCACCCTATATATAACAGCAACTACACCATCTCCCTTTCCATTCTCCCTCTCCTCCGTCTTTTCTTCCCCTTCCCCTCCTACCTTCCTTTTTAAACCTCATCGCTCGGATAGTCGTGTAACTAAAAAATATGCACAAACTCACGGTTTAACTACTTCACTACGGTGTACTTGCCGTGAAGAATGACAATAATAGCAATAATCATAGCAAGATTAACACGCGCGCGCGTGTGATTCTTTGATATTTATATTGTCAATAAATCATCACCCCATATATAACAGCAACTACACCATCTCCCTTTCCATTCTCCCTCTCCTCCGTCTTTTCTTCCCCTTCCCCTCCTACCTTCCTTTTTAAACCTCATCGCTCGGATAGTCGTGTAACTAAAAAATATGCACAAACTGACGGTCTAACTACTTCACTACGGTGTACTTGCCGTGAAGAATGACAATAATAGCAATAATCATAGCAAGATTAACACGCGCGCGCGTGTGATTCTTTGATATTGTATATTGTCAACATATGTTCGCTTATATGTATAATATAAACCAAAGTGCCTCGCAGATTTACGCAATAAACTTTAAATTAAGACAAAAAGAAGTTTTTAGTATAGTAGATATTACTGGATATGGAAAGAATGACATTGACATTGCCTACAGGATCTCGATTATAGAACGTGGATTTAAAATACATTGAAAGCCGTGTGTTTTGGAATGTGTTGACTTCGTACTTCTACCACTGTGCGTAAGTTAATGATACTTGTACATATTAAATCACCCAGATATATCCAGATTGACAATTCACAGAGTTATTTTGATGTTAGCTTGAACTTTTTACGAAAGGATGGTTGAATTTATATGAAGATAGAGAGAAGCGAGGTAATCTCGGTGCTGAGGAACATGTGCCTCGGAAGTACTCCTCATGCGGGATGAACCGAGTCGTAGGATTAGTTTAAAATACGTCATTTATTTATTGATATATGATTCAGAAGCAATGTTTTATAGAGATTCATAAGTGGCATTACTTTTTTTGATTTGCCAAGTAATTGAATTACGTGGCATAAAGGTTAACACAGCTGACTTTGCTAGTCCTTTGACCTTGTTGCTTTGGTGTAAGGAAACGTGGAAGTCAACAGTAAATGGAGAAGTTTTATAATGGAACCTTAACTAATTTGCCTATTGATAATCCGGTTCCTTTGCCAACCTAGGATTTTTTGCAATACATAGGACTTCAGTAAATTTATAGGAAAACGTAATGGCACTACAATAATCAAGAGAGAAAAACTGAACTCGTACTACATGAAATAATCTGTGTAGGCTTAAACTAACATATAAAAAGAAGAAGAAAAGTTCTGACAAATGCCGCATAGTAATTAAGTCCAAGACACTTGAGTGGTGGTCCAGGGGGGGAGCCCCAGAAAAGGAAATACGGCAACTGGATAGTGATTAACCCAATGACGCCGGGTGTACTAAAGGAAAATAAAACTCTACGCTCTGGCAAACAAAGGCAGCGCGCCGACTTTGAGCGCAGGAGTACGGGGCGTCAGCCCGAATCACTGGCTCGCCGCGCTTTGGCGCGCCGCCGGCTGGTTTGGCCGCACGCCACCTTTCGAGCGATTTGTTTACACGCGTATCGCCGTCACCCGGCGGCAAGGGGTTAAAAAGGTAGTTGATTCAGATGGTGATGTGTGTGTATTTCTCAGAAGTGGCTGGAGTAATAGGGGCATTATCTTAACCCATTCGCCCCGGATTTATGTTCTGTCCCCTGTAGTTTTTGATGAATTTTGTTATATACAGATGGCTCCACATCTGCTCAGCCGGCAAGGAGTCTATCAGTAGGCCCTAGTTACCGACCCAGATTTTCCCATTCATTGAATTGGCGGGAAAATTAATACCATTGTAATCGATACTGTTGCTATTGTTATTGATGTTATGATTATTAAATTGTCATTAGAATATATTAGACAATGAAATGATACAAAAAAACTTTTCCTAAAGTGAAGGTAAAGGGTAAACAGGTGATATAGGTAATTCTTGATAACTGGCCATTTGGTGATTAAGAACTTGTGGAGCTATCTATGTGTAAATACAATAAATGAACATGTATAGAAGTTGGCATGGCATCTATTCTTGCCACGTGGGGCAAATGGGTTAAAAGGTTATGGTCACTTTGTAAACATTACCAATACTTTTGTTTATGTTATTTGCACTGGAAAATTAAAAGATTCAAAGGGGATAATTGAAAGAATTAATAATAATTGCAACTTTACCCTTGATACCCAGTTATGTCAACTTTTGTGATTTGGAGTGGGGATCTTTGTTGTTGATGAATGCGTCTGTCCTGTAAAGAGTTTCTGTCACTGGATCCAAACTTTTTCCACTCAGTAAATATATTGCAACCATATATCACCTTACTCTATTATGTTCTAAACTGGACCATGAGGTAAGCCAAAGCATAAGTAATTGTCAAAACAAATTCTTAAAACAACTCTCTTAGGTTTATAAGATAATAAGGAGAAAGAAAATCACTCTTTTAGCCTTCAATTTTTTGCTGTCACTACCAAGTCGAGTGTTGTTGACATGGCCTCAGCCAAGTATATTTCCATGTATAATCTTTTTAGGCAAGAGAAAAGAGAGAAGTAATTGATCAATTTCTTGTCAGTTCAGTTTCAAAATTGCTGAATATACCTGGGTGAGGTTTATTGACCTTTGCCATTATGCCAGTGCAGATGCTACAGTATTACTTGTAGTTATGTTTTGAATATTTACCATTTAGTTTATTAGAATTTCATTTGCTTTTTATGTTATGATTCACTTCTGTTACAGACCAAATTTTACTGATGGTAATTTAAAAGTGTGATAGATTATTTGATATTTTTATAATATTTAGCCATTTGTGAATTAGCTAGAAAATTGTATGATATTGCTAATAGTACCTTGCAATCCAAGATAATAGATATATAAGGCTCATAACTACAAACAATGAGCAAAAAAGGATTAATAGAATTTGGGAATATTCACTGGATAACGAATTCATGTTCCTTCCCTTTTCCAGCTTCAAGAAACATACTAGTGAATAATGAGCTTCAGTGAGTGCAGGGAATTAATAACAGAAGGAGATACTGTTATTTTGTACATCAATGTTTCACAGATCTATGCTCTGGAGGTAAGTGTGATTAATATGAATCAAATTTTTGGTATCAGTACATATTTATCTATTTAGTATTATTATTATTATTATTTTTTTTTTTTACATTCAAGAGAATTAGTTTGATTACCCTTTTCTTTTTGCAAAAGTAAGACCATACTGTTTATAGAGCTTTAATTCATTGTCTATTCCAGGTAACACCAAAAGTGTCCAATAAGCATGGTCAACTGGTTGACAATGTCTTCCAAACTAAATATGGCTCTCTGAAGGTTACCGATCTAATTGGTAAAAAGTTTGGATCCAAAGTGAGCTTGTCAAAGGGATGGGCACATGTACTGTACCCAACACCAGAATTATGGACTATCACTCTTGCCTCATCGTACACAGATTCTCTACACCCCAGACATATCCATGGTAATACTGTAAATTGTTTTTAGGAATGAGAATAATTGACAGTTATAAATCAAATGGATATATAGGAATCTTAAGTATATAGTCATTATAAATCTGTAGTTGTTATAAAAAAATAAGAAAGAGGTTAAAGGTATGAGTAATGAACACTAGAACAAATAGGAAGTTTAATGACAATCAGTTCAGTTATGATATGATATTTATATTAAAATATGTACTAAAAGGAGGAAATGTCTAGAAGAGAGTATTATTGTTATTGATATGATTAATATTTTTGTACTTCAGGTTTTAACACAGCTGGAAGTTGGCCCCGGCTCAGTCGTATGTGAAGCTGGTACAGGGAGTGGATCACTGTCTCATGCTTTGTTAAGAGCTGTTGGTCCAACAGGAAAATTGCATACTTGTGACTTTCACAAAGAAAGAGTTCAGGTAATATGCCTCCAAAAATCAAGATTTAAATACATGCGTGAGGAAGTTAGATATTACTTTTATTTTAAAATTTGTGGTGTACTATTTTATATCTTTCAACTTTTTAGTACCATCGTGATAAATTAAATAGGAACTAAACTTTCTCTTAAAATTTGTTGATAGGTTGCTCTTGAAGAGTTTACTCGTCATGGATTTGGTGATCGTGTGACAGTGACACATCGAGATGTTTGTGTCCAAGGCTTGGGCATTGAAGGAGAAGCAGATGCGGTCTTTCTAGATCTACCTAAACCATGGGAAGCAATTCCTCATGGTGTGAGAGCAATCAAAAATGCTGGTGGCAGGATATGTTCATTCTCTCCATGTATAGAACAAGTAAGCTGCATTACTTGTTTGTGCTTTGATAAATGATAAATATATATATCTATAAACAGAAGTAAAGTAGTGATATAGAAAGTAAAAGACTTCAGAAAAAGAGAGAGTTTTGCTGTCCAATTTGGTGAATAACTGTGTATATATATCTTTTGCAGGTGAGCAGAACATGTGAACTTATGAAATCAATAGGACTAAGAGAAATAACAACTTTAGAATGTTTAGCTCGAGAATTCCAAGTTAAAACTATTTCACTCCCTGTTATCTCTAGAACAAAAAAGGTAGATATGGATTTTGTTGTTGTAGCTGCCATGTATATTTGCAGTCTGAAGACCACTGAATCTGATATACTGTATATTGTAATGCCATATTATTATTATATGTTTTAATATATTTCCTTCCATTTTGTTCCAATGTCCTTGCATTTGGAATGCATGTTATATGTGGGATTTATATTTTCTCACAGATTTTGAAATACAGTGTATTCAGTCACTGTGTATACATATATGTACATAAACTATTTCTATATCCTCCAATCTACAGAAAATTGAAGTCCAAGATCCTGATGTTGCTCAGGATGAACCAGAGGTCATAAAGAAACAAAAGATTGATAATGATAATGAAGAGGAAGAAGCTTCAGATGCCAGTGACAAATTTGAAAATAATCATGAAGAAATACCAACAGAAAAAGAGAACAATCAGGCCAAAATTGAATCAGTACAGAAAATGAATGATATCAAATTCCGCACTGGTGTTACACAACTGAAGATGCCAGGACACACTGGGTTCCTTACATTTGCAACTGTTCCACCTGATTTAAAAAGACCTGAAATCATTAACAACCCTTGTGATTCTGCTGAGTAAGAACAGCTATTAAAGTTTTTTTTTTCTTTAAAATGCATTTTATTTACCACTTAATAGAAAAGAGTATAGGTAATTAATGTATTAAAGAAACCTGAAAGCTATAGCAAATTACATAACATTATACTTAATCTTATAACTCTTTTCATTGTAAGGAAATGACAAGTGATGAGAAGTAAAGTATGATAAAAAAGGCTATATGAACTGAATGGAAGAACATATCTTATAAGAATTTAAACTAAATTTGTCTGTAGCTATAAAATGTCTGCTCCATGCTATTGATAATGAACATAGTATTACTGTTATTTGTATCACCCCCAGTCACTTGGTTGTTGTGGGGAAGCTTAGGAGACAGAGATAGACCCAGTTTAGGTGATCACCCTTACCTTAGACCTCAACCCTCACTTTAACTAATTTTGCTGGCTTTGTTAGTAGTGGGAACCATGGACACGGTAAAAAAAAAGAAAGAAAGAAAAA